TGAGCCCAAGTGACCGCTGTCTGTATTGCCTGCCGCCTCATTAACAGCTCTTGCATTTGAGCTCTTCATTTTCTTTCACAACCTGATCTGCTATGTAAATTCTGTTTTGAGAGAAATAATTTCACTGGGTTTAAATGAAATCCTAATACAAAAGAAATAGTAACAACAAAGGTCTAGAGACAAACAACAACCCGCCCTCCCACTTCTTCCCCAAAAGAGAGGAGGGCTCTGTGAGTTAACCAACGCTTTCCACACTTATAACATGTGATAGTGTCCTTCAGAGGCTTTAGGAAATTAGCAAGAATTCTTTATTTGCTACCAAACTAACTAAAAGCACATTGGTCGCCTTAAAGTTGAACTTGTTGCAAATATGTTTGCTAATATGCTGGAAAATTAGTTCCCATCATAGAGTGAGTAATCTGAGGCACTCAAAAACTCTTTCCTTGAACCTTATAGACCCTTGCTATTTGTGTCCCTCCCATCACCCTCCCACCATCACACATCAAAAGAAATAACAAAAGACCTTCCAAAGACAAAGATTATGAGCAGAAAATGTAGAGGAATTAAAAAACGTGTTTTTCCTTCTAGAAGTACAGTATGTTGCCTTTGGTGCTGTGTATTAAACAGGAAAAAGTGTAAATGTGCTTGAACATCAGGGCTGGGGTGGAGGGTGATGTCAGAATAACAGTAATATCTTCGTCTCCCCTCCCTTAGCTTACAAGCTAAAGCAAAAAGAAAGCAGACTGTTGTTCTTGGTGAAGGGGCTGGGGTCAGAGATGCTGAACAGGCTTGAAAACTCTGAAAACATGATCAGGGAAAACTCCATGACCTAGGCAGAAGGTGGAATTAGTTATAATATTTTCCAATCCATTTTTATTAGAAAAATTCAATAGTATTTTGTGACATATCAAGGAAGAAGAGATTAGAGATTATGGCTTATTTGGTAATGTATGGCTCTATTATCTCATTACCCTTTATTTCGAATTGCAGTAACCATAGCCAGAAACTGCATTTGCTTGTGATAGGAACTTCAGCAAAAAGCTTGTGAAAATTACTCATATTTTTTAGTGATAGAACCCTGTTTAAAACGTATTGAAGTCAAAATTAGATTCCTTAGAAAAAGATAATCTTAAATTAGTTTAGAAGAGTAGCACTATTTTCTTATTTTTTAAAATACATCTTAATCCAGAGTTTGTTATCTGGCCTCGTTATATCATGAACTGTTCTGGCTTCCTCGGGATTTTTCACAGAGGACAAACCATACACTTAAACTCGCTTTCCATCAGGATTTGAGGTTATAAATACTGCCTTTCCATGGATGGAAAGTGGAGGCACACTTAATCATCAGCTCTCAACAAAAAAAGGGGGGGATTATAGGATTCTCGAAGAAAATCCAAAGAAACTATAAGAGTTTCTATTTTGCCATTAACAAAACAAACAAGACTCCTTTGCATTCTTTTTAGTAAATTAAAAAATACTTGTGTTGAACTGTTTTGAAAGCTTCTGAATTTGCTGAAGATACTCTGCTTTCTTTCATTGCCTTTTCTGTAATTTTCAGATATATTTTGGAAATAAAATACTGGACAGATTGGACAGTAAGACCGAAACCCTTTCTGAGTACATTTTGTGTTTTAAGATAATTCTTATTTAATATAGTACTACTAATTAACACGTGTTTGTGGTTTGGTTTTGAAAGGAAAAATTAACAAATGTTGGATATCAAGACCAGGAGTTGCAAAGCACCTTTTCAGTCTTTAGATTAGTAAACTCAAGGCTATCTTAAAGAAAGAGCATAATTCATGTTTTGCCATAGTTGTGTTAACTCAAATGACCATTTTCAAACACTTGCCAAAAGGGCGAATCCTGAAAATACCAGTGAAAAGCAAACGGTTGAAATATAAACTATCCAAAGCATGCATACTTCTTAGCGAATTTTTTTTTCGTTTTTAGTTTGTTATACCCCAAAGGAGAAATTTACAGAGGTCAAATAAAAGCTCTTTTGCAGTTAAGGAGAGGGGAGGAGGAGGAGAAGGAAAGAGGGAGGGACACACCATAAACGTAAAACAAACTGGTGGCTTTCAGTCAAGAAGGCAGGTAAAGCTCCAAAGGCCAGCGAATTGTGGACAAGTCATCTGGACTCTCCAAAGCCTTCCAGAGCCGGGCTGTTTCGCGCTTCTTTGCATTTTTCTTTCAACCTAGCCCTTTGACGGAGGAGTGCAGCAGGAGGGGAATTTTCGCTGTTGGGAAGTGGCAGGTAGGAAAAGAAATCTGATCCGGCCCAAAAGTCAGCAATTAAAGTCTTAACTGAGACCCATCTGTCGTGGGACAGAGACCTCCCCACACCCGCTTTGCTCCAGCAAAGCCCTTCCCGCGCCCTTTGTCTGAGCAGGGAAAAGGAGGAGACTGGTTCTGCGGCCCCAACAGCAAAAGGAAAGAAATTTTCCAGCGTTGACCGATACTGAGTGTCTCCGCCCGGGCCAAAGACAACTCCGAAGCGCCTCTCCGGGGTGTGGCGACTCTTCGCTGGCTCTGAGCGGGTGCTCTGCCCCGCGGCCCCAGCAAAAGGAAAGAAAATGTGCAGCCTGGGCGAATCCCCAGTAGCTACACGCGGGCCAAGGACCGCTCCAAAGCGCCACCCTGGAGTGTAGCACCTCTTTGCCTGCTCCGCCGAGTGCTCTGCGATCGCCTCCTACCCTTCTCTGCTGCCTCAGTTGTCCCATCCTGAAGCCACCTCGAGACCTGAAACGAGGCACTCCCAGGCCTAGCTGCAGAGACCGGTCTTATTCAGCCTCTTGCCCCTGGGCTGTCCTCAGCTTCCAAAAGGACTCACTCCTCCTCCCCCATTTCTTCAGCCTTTGAGTTTTCCCACCACCCATCCAGCTGCCCCTGCCTTTCCCTTAGACTTCAGGCGCGTTCCCAGCACCTCTCTTCATTTCCACCCCTCTTGGCTCTTGGGGCAGAGGCGGAACTGATTTTCGCCGAAAGCTAGAGTGGGACGGAGGGGCCTGGGTGGCTTGCCTGGCATTTGCTGAGAATGGGGTAGAGAAGAGGGAATACTTTGAGGTCGATTTCCTTCGTTAAAGGCCCAGCTTCATATCTTTGAGTGAAATTGGCCAGGGACTTAATAATCCTAGGGCTTCTAGGCCGCCGTTATCCAGCCTTACGCTGCCAACCCTTTTCAGGGTTCTTGCAGAAGGACGCCCACACTACTCTTGGCCCAATACCTGACACCCGCCACCACCTGTTCCACACCCACTTGGGGTTAACTCACCTCAGGGTCCAGGCCCCACCGCCCTTTGCTTGCAGCTCTGCGCTCTCCCTTGGCCTCCTAACGCCCGCTCACAGCTGCCGCGTCTTCCAACTCTGTGCAGCCCTCAGTGCGCGCCTAGCTCCGGAATCCAGCTATGGGATCGCAGGCTGGCAAGGGACTGCGCCGAGGAAGGTGCGCGCCGCAGCTTCCAGCGCGCTCCTGGAAGCGCTTGTCTGGGCTGCGGGAACCCGCACAGTCGGAGCCGCAGACACAGACATCTTCCTGGAAACCTCCACCCGCACTGTCGCGCCGCCCCAGGAGTTTGGGCCGAGGCTCCACATCCGGCGGGTGCTCGGCTGGGGGGCGTTGCAGTGGAAACTGTCTCTACGCGCGCTCTTGGGAGGCGCAAGGGTACCTGTGAACACAACTGTGGCGCCGGCAGCTCTTCTTGTTGCGCACAGACACCCAGGCTGCCGCCTGCGCTGCTTTGAGTCGGCTCGTAGACGTCGGCAGCCGGGATGGGAACTAATAAATTCTTTTTCCCTTCTCCGCTCGGCATTCAGTATTTAAAATGCTCCGGGGGAGAGCTCTAGCTGAGAGCAGGTACTTAAGAAAGAAATGCTTTTTTCCAGATTCTCAGCGGAAACTCGGAAGCGTGCGCGCGCGCGCGTTTGTGTGTATCCTGGGTGGGGTCCGATCGAGTCAAGGTTTCTTGTGGTGTGACACCCGATTATTCCTTGCAACTCCTTAACTTTGTGGATGGAAGTGCGACTTTCCCAGGCCTATTGCCACGGGCATTGCCTTTACAAAACCACAAACACATAACATGCCTCCCAAGGCTTTTAATTCTCAGGGGCGTTTTGGAAGGCCAGTTACCTGCTGGCGTCTTCTAAATGGTCCAGACTCGGTTCGGGCCGCGGAGACTCCGGGATTCCGGGAGCGCGCAACCCCGAGCCCTGGAGGAAGAAGGAGGTCTGCGAAGGAGTTGGCACAGACACGACCCCGGCCCAGCCCGGCCCAGCCAGGCCCGGCGGAACCAAGCAGCGAAACCTCGGATTTCGCTGCCGAGGCTTCCTGACCGAGGCTTTCTGGAGCTTGGCGTTTGATAAATATAGCCTGGCGTTTGCCCCTGAATTAGACTCCGTTTCCTTATTTAGCCCTTGCACAATGATTTTTAGATGATGTCACTTAAAGCTAAACGAGAAAATTGATCTCAGATTTGCTTGGCCTCTAAAGCCTGGTTAAGCAGATTGAGAATTAGAAAGTCAGAGGAAGCAAAAGGTGGGGTGGGGGAAGCGGGGGGTAGTGAAGTGTGCGCGGCAGAGTGTGTGCGCGGAGGGGAGGGCGCGCCACGCGGGTGAAAGCGCCCCCGCCTCTTCTGGGCGGGGAACCTCACTCACCAATGAAAAGTAGTTACTGACTGCAGAGGAAAAAAAAAAGTTTTCCTGTTGACTGTTGGAAGCGAATTGAACAATTATCTAGTTTACCTTCTCCTCTTGGAAGTTAACGATTGGCGAGATCTTGGCTGCGTTATTGACACAACACTTTCTATTGATAGAAATAAGTAGTGATTGTCCCCGAGTCATTGGTGCGCCAAGAACTCTGCGATGGGCTGGCAGGAGTCCATTGGGCTGGGCAGGCAGGTTCGGCTGGTGATGCTGGGGAGGAGAAGGAGGAGGAGGCTACTGCTGGTGATGGTGCCCGTCCCCCTCTCCGCAGGTCTGTGACAAGCAGGGAACCAAGCGACTGACGGCGCAGCCCAGCCCCGGCTGACGGACGCTGGCGACTCAGACATGGACAGTAGCTGCCACAACGCTACTACCAAAATGTTAGCGACTGCTCCAGCCCGGGGCAACATGATGACCACGTCCAAACCCTTGGCTTTCTCCATTGAACGAATCATGGCGCGCACCCCTGAGCCCAAGGCCCTGCCAGTCCCCCACTTTCTGCAGGGAGCCTTACCCAAGGGGGAACCCAAGCACTCTCTGCATCTCAACTCGTCGATCCCCTGCATGATCCCCTTCGTGCCTGTGGCGTACGACACGAGCCCCAAGGCAGGAGTGACGGGCTCCGAGCCGCGGAAGGAGAGTCTGGAGGCCCCGGCAGCGCCCGCGGCGGTGCCCTCGGCGCCCGCATTCAGCTGCAGCGACCTGCTTAACTGCGCACTGAGTCTCAAGAGCGACCTGGCCCGCGACGCGCTGCCGCTGCAGCAGTACAAGTTGGTAAGGCCGCGTGTGGTCAACCACTCTTCATTCCACGCTATGGGCGCCTTGTGCTACCTGAACCGAGGTGACGACCCGTGCCACCCGGCAGCCGGCGTGAACATCCACCCGGTGGCCTCCTACTTCCTCAGTTCCCCTTTGCACCCGCAGCCAAAAACGTATTTAGCCGAAAGGAATAAACTGGTGGTCCCAGCAGTGGAGAAATATCCTTCCGGAGTAGCTTTCAAAGACCTGTCTCAGGCTCAGCTGCAGCATTACATGAAAGAAAGCGCCCAGCTTCTGTCGGAAAAAATCGCGTTCAAAACCACGGACTTCAGCCGAGGCTCTCCTAATTCCAAGCCCAAAGTTTTCACTTGCGAAGTGTGTGGAAAGGCAAGTACTGTGCAAAACGGCGATCCTTCCCTCCCTCCCTTTCTTCTTTCTTTCTTTCCTTCCTTCCTTCCTTCTCCCCTCCCCCTTTCCTTCCTCTCTTTTTAGTATTTGTGGGGTAATTATATGTACACACTTTTTGTAAGATTCTCTTCCTCCTGCCCTCCCTCTGCCGGGTTTGATTTCAAAGTTACTTGATCAGCTAACCTGTTCTATGTGTGTTTAATTTTAAGGTCTTTAATGCGCACTACAACTTAACCCGTCACATGCCAGTGCACACAGGAGCCAGACCTTTCGTTTGCAAAGTGTGCGGAAAAGGTTTCAGGCAAGCAAGCACCCTGTGCAGGCATAAGATCATTCACACGCAGGTGTGTTCATACGTCTTAATTTCACCTAGTTTGCTTCGGAACTCTTTGCAGAAAACAGCCGATAAAGCCTTACTTTTTTGGATAAGGTTCGTTTAAAAGTGCTAGCTGAACAGGGTGAATGCCATGTATTGTTTGCCTTTGTTCTGCTTAAAAGTATTTAAGCAATGCTGTGTTTTGAGTTTGCAGAACTTCACATAATAAGAAAATAACCTTAACGTCTCTGCTTTTCCTTTCTCCTGCTTAGGAGAAACCTCACAAATGTAACCAGTGTGGCAAAGCATTTAATAGAAGTTCCACTTTAAACACACATACCCGAATACACGCGGGCTACAAACCGTTTGTGTGTGAATTCTGTGGCAAAGGATTTCATCAAAAAGGTAGGGAAACCAGGAAATGTTGTATCTCATGGTTAGTCTTATGAAAAGCCATAATCTTTTTGGGATGTTTTAGAAGACGATGTTTAAAGTGTAGTTATGTGGCGCATCTGTTGCTATTCTAACCCCCTACACGAAATTTGTTTAGTATCAGAGGAAGACTAGTTCATAAAACAAGGTATGTTTTTAACCGCATGTTCTCATTCTATATAATTGGACTGATAAATGTGTATTAAGATTTAAAGGAAATGGCATCGCTGTTGATGCGATGTTTGAAAATAAACTTGGAGAGACCAGTGCAGGCACGGATAGCAGCCCTGCACTCGCTGTGGGACCTGTGGCGGCTCTTCTGTTTGTCTGGTGCAACTTTCGACTTGTCCACTCCTCCCTTGTTAAGGTCTTTTTCAGAACCACATCCCTGTCATTTGTCTGTTTCAGGGAATTACAAAAACCACAAGTTGACCCACAGCGGGGAGAAGCAGTTCAAGTGCAATATCTGCAACAAGGCTTTCCACCAGGTTTACAACCTCACCTTCCACATGCACACCCACAACGACAAGAAGCCTTTCACCTGCCCCACGTGCGGCAAGGGTTTCTGCAGGAACTTTGACCTCAAGAAGCACGTCCGAAAGCTGCACGACAGCAGCCTGGGGCTGGCCCGCACGCCCGCTGTCGAACCAGGCACAGAACCGCTGCCCCCGCTACAGCAGCAGCCGCCCGTGACGCTGCCTCCTCTGCAGCAACCGCTGCCACCCCCTGGCCCCCTGCAGCCCGGGCTCCACCAGGGCCACCAGTGATCGAGGCCAAGATTCCTCCCAGCCTCAGCCCGGGGGCCCCCACCGCTGAGGGAGCGGCAGACTAGAGCTCCTGTTCCGAGTTCGTCTGCAGACCCCAGGGCATGTTGGGTCCCACACTTTAGGGCCGACCGGAAGCCTCTACATCCCCTGGCCTTTCGCCTCTTGCATGCACCTGCTAAATGGTTTTGTGTATTATATTCTATATAGGCACTAACAATTATGAAAATTTGGAGGGTTTTGTTTCGTTCTATTTTCTTTTTTTAATTTGGAAACACTTTTCATCTTGGGTGGAGAGATGGTGTTTGTTTTGTTTTGTTTAAACAAATTTCTGCTATATTTATTGAGATCTGTATTATTCTACCCGGGAATGCTGCATCGTTTTAATTTTATTATTGTATATATTTCCACTGTGTTGGTTCTCCAGTCTCAAGATATCTGCTGGTTGTTTATTACCATTTCCTCTTTCCCTGAAGTAACAAAACACTGTGTGTATGCCATATATACACGCATAGATGTGTGCGCCCATAAGGGTACATTCCACATTCGTGAGCACACACACACATTAGATAAGGGTGGTTCATTATGATGATTTTGAATTTTGCTTTTGATTATTGCACGTGAAAATTGATTCATTGACTGTTGGAAATAAATACTTGGAACATGCTTATTTAATCAACAAACTTGAGGTTTCTGTTTATACAGCTAGAGATCCCTGACTCTGACCCCCTGATTAATCCTCCGTTTTAAAATTCAAAACCTTAATTAGTAACACTTAATGTTTTGGTCTGAAAATCCACCAAGTGCAAGCAGTCTCTTCTAAATGGTTACACCTTTGGATAAAGTTATGAAATCTGGTAAAGTTCAGAAGCAGAAGACATCGAGTTTTCTAACAAACATAAATTTGGCTTGCACCGCCTGGTATGTTTGTAGTGCACAGTTAAGTGGGAACAACATATCCAATAGCTGCGTGCGATGTATATCTCCTCAAATGTATTACAATCATAGACAGCTATCTATTGTTTGCATCCTGAAGGTACATACTGACTTGTACACAGCTGGCAAAGGGAGCCTCCGTGTTTTTACACGGGTATATATGTTTATAAACGAATATACTTCCATTCAAGGAGGAAACATGGACGAAAACCAAACTGTGGCTGGTGCCAGGTCCTTGAAATTCTTCAAGTGTTAATCAGCGGCTCCGCTGTGAGCTCGGGCTGTGGTATTTCTAACTGCAAGTCTCTCCTGTTTTCTTGCCAAAACAGTGAAACAACTGCTAAAGACTTTAATTAAGAGGGGTAATTAGTTCAGATTTATCAAAGCCGGGTTGTTATACCATTAGCTGCTCAGTAGAAGCTGCCAGACAAACTCACAGCCCAGCACAGTCGTGCTACTGCAGCGGGGCAACATCATGGGAGTGCGACTCGGGGGAGCGGACCCCGGGGTCCCGGCATCGCTGCCGCGGGGTCTCCATCACCCAGTCAGGCCCGGGGCCAGTGCGGCCTGACCTGTAGGCCTCGGGGGTGCATCTTGGCCCCCCACCCCCGGCCCACGCGCTCCCTCCAGGGCTGTGGTCGGCCGAGAATCCGCCGTCTGTCCACACCGCGGGCCCAGGTTCTACAGTCCAAGGATCTCCTTTCTGCACCCACTGTAGGGCGGCCTCGCCAGCTCCGGGACCGCCCCGACAGTTGCCGGGAATAAACTTAAATGTGCGGCGCCGCCTCATTTCTACGCGTCCTGCTGAGCCCAGGAAAAGGCGGTGCACAGCGGCGAGAGGCGAGACCGAGAGCGGAGACGTGCAGCGGACACGGGGCGTCGGGGGGTGGGGGGGCGCAGCGGCAGTCACCCGAACTCTCGTTTCATGTCGAGGAAAGACTGACGGCTCTGGTCACCAAGAGTAGGTGGCCTGAGTGCTTTTCGACAGCTTAGGAAACAAGGAGATGACGAACAGCCCCAGTGGGGTGATCGTGGACGGGCGGGTGAGTGGGCCCCCCCGCGGGGACCCCCACCCTAAGTTTGGCCTGAGCCCCTTATGGGTTGTGGGGAGCAGGTTTGGGAATCCAGAGAGCATGGACCTGGTGTGGGCTGGCAAGGTCCCCAGAACAGGGAAGTCCTGACACTTCCTGCAGGAGTCTGGTTCAGACTTTTCTCAACGCTTTGTGCCAGGACGCACCCCCTTTGTGGACACGGGGGACAAGTTCTAGCCCAGCCATGATTAGATCGAATCCCGAAGTTTCTCTTTTCCTGACCTCCTCACTGCCCGCCCTTGTCCATTGCTGAGGCCAAATCCATGTTAGATTTGACTTCAGAAAGCGATGGAGTCTTGGAATTCCACAGCTGGCTGGATTCTGAATCCATGCGGCCCGAAGTAGCTCCATCTCTCACTGAATATTACAGCTGATTTGATAATCTGATTTGAGAACCTGATTTGGTATCAGGCTCTGGCCACATTCCTTGACAGCTGCCTATGCTTCCGAAGGAGTTTTGAGGGATGCTGCAGAGTTTATGAATCCCCTTTTCCAAAGTGGCTTAGTCAGATCTTGGAAGCATTTGGTTTGAGTAAATGAGAATGAGACCAGGAGTCATTATAATTTGCAACTTACACATTTCAGTGAAAGAGCAGGAAATGGCCTTTGCTTCTTTAACTTGTTGTCAACACATATTTGAACTTATTCTCAAAACCCAGGGTGTAGATTCTTCTAGACATTAGAGATGATGCGATTTTACTGGGGGAAAGCCAAGTGAACATTATTGAGAAACATTACTAAACCATTAAATACCCCATGCCAGTGTACTTTGACATATTGGGAGTCGGGGGGCTCTTCTATGGAATAATAGAATTGGTTTGTTTCAATCCAGAAAAAAAGAAAGAGAGAAAGGAGGGAGAAGAAGGAAGAAAGGGGGGAGGTTGAGAGAGGGGGGGGAGGGGAGGAGAGGAGAGGAGAGGAGAGGGGAGGGGAGGGGAGGGGAGGGGAGGAGAGGAGAGGAGAGGAGAGGAGAGGAGAGGAGAGGAGAGGAGAGGAGAGGAGAGGAGAGGAGAGGAGAGGAATAAGAGAACGAAGGAAACAGAAAAAATAGAGAAAACGTTATTGTACATTCCACATTATGATGTGGAATGACTCTGTTATAAGGTCTGAATCTGTGATGGTGCAATAGTTCCAGTGAAGGCAGGCACAAGAAATTATTGTCTGCTCACATGTTTGAGCACCTGGAGTGTTAGTGATTAAGTAGAGGAGGCCAAAAGGAAATTCTCTAAAATGGAGCACTCAAGAGAACTACTTTTCAGGAGGTAAATTATCAGTGAACTTTGATTTATGATAAAGCTATTAGAGCTTACATGAAGGAGAATCTCCTTAAAGAGAGTATAAGCTTAGGGATTAAGTTTATGGGAGAAAAAAATTGATGAAGTGGAATACTTAACTAATAGTCAGGGAAAGACCTACAATTCTCTCCCCTCAACTAATACTGAAGGGTGATTATTTTCCCTTCAACTATCTAACCTCTGCATGTGTGTATGTCTGTGTGTACACGTCTCTGTGTTACATGTTTCTTATTATAGATTTTTATGCTTTCTCATGAAACAGGTTCCCTAAAAGTATGAATTGAAACTTGGTTTTGTCCCAGTCCACCTTCTTTTGATCAGATGTTAGCCAGCAAACTCTCTCATGTTTGGTGAGGAAGAAAAGCCACTGTCAAGATTATCCAATGAGGGAAATGGTTTACCTTCTGCTCCCTCTGTTGGAATTAACTTCTGGTATAAGGAAGATGACCTTCCTCTGGAAAGGGCAGCAAAGACTAATTTTAGAAATGTAGTGATTCACTGAGACCTTATATTTAGTTCAGTTTTGGAAATCAGAACATATAGCACAATTCACATTATAAATACTGATTTCCTATTCTTGTTTTGTTTTGTTGAATCAGGGTCTTGCTCTGTCACCTAGGCTGGAGTGCAATGGCACACTCATGGCTCACTGCAATCTCTATCTCTGATGCTTAAGCAATCCTGCCGCAGCCTCCCAAGCAGCTGGACCACAGATGCATGCCACCCTGCCCAGCTAATTTTTGTATTTTTGGTAGAGGCAGAATTTTGCCATGTTGCCCAGGCTTATCTTGAACTCTTGTGCTCAAGCAATACTCCTGCCTCCGCTTTCCAAAGCTCTGGGATTACAGGCATGTTACATGTGTTTTACCATGCCCAGCCAAATTCCTATCTATTTTATTTTAACACAGAACCCAAATCCTGATTTACAATAATCTCTTCCAAAAGTAGCAATTTGTTTAGATTTCCCAAATTTTAGTTTAAGAACAAGTTATTATGCAACAGTAAGACTAAAGTGTTAACTGTTAGTAGTAAATGAAAGCATTGCATATGGGCCTCTCTAAGTAGTTACTTGTTAGTGATGTTGGAGGCTTAGTGAGTTTCTTATGAAACTTTGCTCTTCTCCAAGTATAGAAGAAATTAATCCACAAGATGCAATGGAGTTATAATTCCCAGAATCTGTGCATCCTATTTTACAGATTTCCCCCCGCCATCAACGTCAGAAATTCTAATTTTTCTAGAACTGGTAACATTCAGAATAAACTAAGGTATAACTGTAGAGGGTATATTTTTGTCTTGTAAAAATAGTTATTGTAAGACATGCAGTATAAAATGCAGTGATCTCAAATTCAAAATTAGAGCAGAAACAAAAATGTTTTCTTTTTTGCTTTATAAACCCATGTACTGGGTAAATCTCTTATTAGTGAAGTGTATGATTTTAGGGGCCCACAACTTATTGTTACCAGAGTGCATTTTCAAAAGCACTAAAATTAAAACCGACCTAAATTTCAGTAGGTAAAAATATGAAGTTATTGGCTGTTGAGATAAAAAGTAATTTTGAACCCAATAAAACATCGTTGTATTTTCGCTAAAAACCACAGATTACTCTCACAGAAGAAGTTATTTGTGTCCATTGGGTTAATTAAAAACTGAAAAACAAACTGTATTTGTGAGTAGAAAATACTTTGTTTTGAATTTCATTGCTGGCCAGGCATGGTGTCTCTCCACGCTGCAATGCCAGCACTTTGGGAGGCCTAGACAGGTGGATTACCTGAGGTCAGGAGTTGGAGACAAGGCTGGCCAACAAGACAAAAACCTGTATCTACTAAAAATACAAAAAACTAACCAGGTGTGTAGGCAGGTGCCTGTAATCCCAGCTACTTGGGAGGTTGAGGCAGAATTGCTTGAACCCTGACGGCAGAGGTTGCAGTAAACCAGTATTGTGCCTTAGCACTCCAGCCTGGGCAACAAGAGTGAAACTCCATCTCAAAAAAAAAAAAAAAGAAAAAAATTTTTATTGCTTTTAGAAATTAATGCCTGAGTCCATTTCAGCTTCAGGACAAACTAAAGACAAATAGTGATATACTAATCAACACCCTGCTTATTTGTGTAGTTTTGTTGTTAAAGCAATTGCCAGTTAAGCTAGCCTAGGTTGTCTCACTCCATGCAAAAGAGAAGAGGATGCCTAGGGTTTAAATGACCTTGATATGAAAATCTAACTCTGTTATTTTAATTTTCTCCATACATTTTTACATATTGCCTCCAATGAACTTGGAGAAAAAGTCAAAATTCATCATGTAATTGAATGAGTATAAAGTTATTACAAATCATCATGTACATTTTCTGTTCAAGATTGAGGTGACG